TAAATGCAAAGCTTAACCTTTGGAGAGAAGAGTTGGAATCTAAAGGTCCTTCGCCTAAGCCGATCAAAGACAGAATATATGGAGTGCAAGTTCAGTGCAAATGGAGGCCAAAACGAGTTAGGGGTGAGGATCGGAGATCAAGAAATACCAAAGAGCGACCGTTTTCGTTACCTAGGATCTATCTTGCAAAAGAACGGAGAATTAGATGGAGATCTCAACCATAGAATACAAGCTGGATGGATGAAGTGGAAGAGTGCATCCGGCGTGTTGTGTGACCGCCGTATGCCACTGAAGCTCAAGGGAAAATTTTATAGGACGGCAATAAGGCCGGCGATGCTGTATGGCACAGAATGTTAGGCGGTGAAGCATCAACACGTACACAAAATGGGTGTAGCGGAGATGAGGATGCTTCGTTGGATGTGTGGGCACACGAGAAAGGATAAGATTAGGAATGAGGATATCCGGGGTAAAGTAGGAGTAGCCGAAATTGAAGGAAAGATGAGAGAAAATCGGTTACGGTGGTTTGGACATGTGCAAAGAAGGCCTACGAAGATGCGACTATGGGACAGAGGTTCAGGGCCGAATGGGTAGAGGAAGACCTAGGAAAACTTTGGAAGAGACTCTAAGAAAAGACTTAGAGTACTTGGATCTAACGAAGGACATGACACAGGACCGAGCACAATGGCATTCTAAGATTCATATAGCCGATCCCACTCAGTGACTTGGATTTTCCAAGTCTCCAACCGAGAAGTTTTCCTCACTCGGAAATTAAGGGAACACTACCTTAACCTACATGCTCCACTCACAAAGCTTCAACAACAAAAGAAAATTCAAAGAACTTAGCGAAGAAGGCTTTGGTGTATTTAACACAATACGTTGAAATGAAGGAAAGCTTATTTATTGATATCCCCGATAAGCTACAAATATGTACATATACATGAGTCAAAATAAACAAACAAGAGGGAGCCTTCACAAAGGTTGCTTAGGAGAAGTCTCAGCAGTCGGTAGAGCCCCAGAAAGAGAAGGCACCGGAGGGGGATCATTCGGAGCCTCAGTACTGGACAGAACCCTAGAAGGAGGAGGCATCAGAGGTTGATCATTTGGAGCTTCATTACGCGGTACAGCCCCAGAAGACGAAGGCAATAAATGCCTTTGGAACAAACCCACAAATCTCTGATGATCAAGTAAAACCTGACCATCAGATTCCTTCATCTGGTCAAGCTTCCTCTTCATGTTTGTAGCATAGTCATGTGCGAGCCGGTGCAACTGTTTATTCTCATGCTTGAGCCCTCTAATCTCCTGTTTGAGACTCATCACTTCAGCCGCCAATGATTCAACTTGGCGGGTTCGAGCAAATAGGCGTTGGGCCATATTAGACACAGAACCTGCACACTGAACACTGAGAGCCAGAGAATCCTTAACAGCTAACTCATCAGACCGTTTGGAAAGTAGTCTGTTATCTTTGGGAGTGAGAAGGTTCCTGGCCACCACCACCGCAGCGGTCATATCATTCTTCATCACGGAATCCCCAACGGTAAGAGGACCAGTAGGGGAGACGAAGGATGGGCGCCATATGTTTGTCTGGAGAAGGCGGGGCTGCCTCTTCAACAAGGTTCAAGTCAAAACGACGGTCGGAGGGGCCAGACATTTTCAAAGGTGTTGAAGAGAGAAGAGGTCGGACAAATCAAGATCTTAGAAGTGCAAGAATGGAGCTTCTACTGGTGGAGATTCAAGTGTGCTTTGGAACTTAATGCCAGCCCCTATAAAAAATCTGCACTCGACGGAGCTTCAGAAATCGAAGAGGCGCCTGCCAGCTCAAAAATCGAAGAGGCGTTTGCTTTCTCAAAAGCAAGGGCTGCTCAGAGACCACGAGGGTCGATATCAGAAATCGAAGAGGCGTTTGCTTTCTCAAAAAGCTGGGCTGCTCAAAGACCACGAAGGCCGATCTCAGAAATCGAAGAGGCGCTTGCTTTCTCAAAAGCTGGGCTGCTCAGAGACCACGAGGGCCGATCTCAGAAATCGAAGAGGCACCTACTTTTCCAGCCTTGTCAGCACCTGTCACACCCACACTCAGCTTTGCGGAAATTATGGGCATTCTGTCGAAGACTTCTGGTGAAGTAGAAAGCACATGAATCTTACTGTTCAATCACCCACTTCCCACACGCAACAGTAGCTCATGGGTACCACAGATAACTTTGCCAAAGTTCTCTGCCAAAGTTGAGACACGTGAAGCTTGCAGCTCCCACTACATCGCTCTGACCAAGAAGGGTAAAAGAATAGCAAAGAAACAACACTAACAAAGTTTAGACACATAAATTTTGAAGGTCTAGCTACCATATTATTACCCACAAGGGTAAAGGAACAGTACCACTGCTGGATAATTGGAAAGTCCCTGTGTGTCAACCTTTGTGCTTCGTGGCAAGGTAGACTAGCAAACATGCCCAACCTTTACTCACATTCGAGAAAACACTCCCAACAAGATTGCTTGCTCCAAAATCGAAGAGGCACCGTCCTCCGAATCTCGAGAGCCAGACTCCCAACATGACTACTTTCTCAAAAAATCGAAGAGGGTAAAGGAACAGTACCATTGCTGGATAATTGGAAAGTCCCTGTGTGTCAACCTCTGTGCTTCGTGGCAAGGTAGACTAGCAAACACATGCCCAACCTTTACTCGCATTCGAGAAAACACTCTCAACAAGATTGCTTGCTCCAAAATCGAAGAGGCACCGCCCTCCGAATCTCGAGAGCCAGACTCCCAACATGATTACTTTCTTAAAAATCGAAGAGACACCGCTCTCCGAATCTCGAGAGCCAGACCCCCAGCATGATTGCTTTCTCAAAAATCGAAGAGGCATCGTTCTCTGAATCTCGAGAGCCAGATCCCCGATAGGATTGCTTGTTCGAAAACCGAAGAGGCAACACTTTCCCAACTTCAAGAGCTGGATCTCCTTGGATAAAGCTGTCTGTAATCTTCACACGCAACATCAGCTTTCCAGATACCACAAACCACTTTTTCAAAGTGCTCTGACAGCGTTAAAACATGTGAAGCTGGCAGCTCCCACTACCGTGCTATGACCAAGTAGGGTAAAGCATTACTACTTGTTGTTAAGGAGACTCCTATATATGTCGACCTCCATCCCCAACGGACAGGCAGACCTGCAAAAATGCTCAACCCTTCCTCATATTTGAGAGGGCACTCCCAACGAAGCCTTTCGAAATATTCAGCTTTCTTTCCCCCCGATAATACCTCTGCAAACAAGCTATACTAGAGCAAGAATATCTCATATCATCAGGGTTAAAAGCAAGAGTATCCCATATCATGCTTTTTCCCTGTCTTTTCCTTTGGCCTTGTTCTTACCTGCAAGACAAGGAGAAAGAGAGCAATCAGTCAGCACTTGGAATCAAGCTTCCAGCCAGGAACTGACTGCCTGGAACCCCTTACCTGATTACTTACCTGACATTGCTCTCGAGTACTCATCTTCAACATCTTATGCTTCCAGGGAAGATACCGCATCTGCCTGAGGAACAGATAGGGCAAGGGAGAAGGATACAAGGAAGCATGTGGAGACAAGCGTAACAGCACACGTGCCGATACATCCATTATTCTGTCAAAGCAAAAGTATCCCATATCAGCAGGGTGGAACGTACTCTAGATTTGATGGACTTGTTTTGACCCTCAAATTCTTCAGTCGGCCTTATACTCTGGAGGAAACTAGAAAACCCTCCAGCTCAGTTCAAGAATAAGCCTGTGAAAAGTTACTTCTTCAAAAGCAAAAGTATCCCATATCATCTCTTCTCATTTTCTTCTCTTTATCCTTCATGCTGCCTGCAAGATAGGGAGACTGTGAACAATCAGTCGGAGCTATGATTGCTTACCTTGTCTGTCACCTTTTTCAGCAGATCCTTTAGCTCGGCGACTTGGGGGACTCCTACTACATAGTTTGTATCGCGCTTGACCAAGCCTGAAACTACAAGTAAGCTTCAAGTGAAATTGATACATTACCTTGTGCATCTCCACCAGTTAAAGATACCATCCCTGGATGGAGGAAGAGTACTTCCAGAGAAGATGCCCCATCTACCTATGAGACAGATAAGGCACGTCAAGACGATACCACACTCCGATACTTAGAAGTTTCGTGATTACGAGATCATTCTCCCACAATATTTCCTAATGTCATTTGTACTAAATCATTCACTTGTACTCACTAAAGGAGAGCTTGAACCTATGTACTTGTGTAAACCCTTCACAATTAATGAGAACTCCTCTATTCCGTGGACGTAGCCAATCTGGGTGAACCACATACATCTTGTGTTTGCTTTCCTATCTCTATCCATTTATATACTTATCCATACTAATGACCGGAGCAATCTAGCGAAGATCACAAAAAGCGACCGTTTTCGCTACCTAAGATCTATCGTTGCAAGAGAACGGAGAATTAGATGGAGATCTCAACCATAGAATACAAGCTGGATGGATGAAGTGTAAGAGTGCATCCGGCGTGTTGTGTGACCGTCATAGGTCACTGAAGCTCAAGGGAAAATTTTATAGGACGGCAATAAGGCCAGCGATGTTGTATGGCACAGAATGTTGGGCGGTGAAGCATCAACACGTACAAAAAATGGGTGTGGCGGAGATGAGGATGCTTCGTGGGATGTGTGGGCACATGAGAAAGGATAAGATTGGGAATGAGGATATCCAAGGTAAAGTAGGAGTAGCCGAAATTGAAGGAAAGATGATAGAAAATCGATTCCGGTGATTTGGACATGTGCAAAGAAGGCCTACTGACGCTCCGGTTCGAAGATGTCACTACTGGACAGAGGTTCAGGGCCGAAGAGGTAGAGGAAGACCTAGGAAAACTTTGGAAGAGACTCTAAGAAAAGACTTAGAGTACTTGGATCTAACGGAGGACATGACACAAAACCGAGCGCAATGGCGTTCTAAGATTCATATAGCCGACCCCACTTGGTGGGAAAAGGCTTTGTTGTTGTTGTTGTTGTTGTTTCTGCTCCTCCCTCTGCACTCCAAATGAAAACAAAATACTACATATTACCTGTAATCTAGAGATATTGCACTGATTTCGTTTCTTGTATTTCGGATTGTCCATTTAATACAGCATATAGCTGTGTTTGGAGATGCAAATTTAGAACTGCCTTCATTTCTTTCCAATCATTCCGCTGTCGAGATTCACATGGATATTGGTCATAATTTCTTGTTGAGATACGATAAAGAGTGTAACATCAACGTAGAGCTTCCACTGCATGCACGATATCCAGTAAGTGGAATGGTTGTGAATTAAATTTGTAACTGTATCTGATTTCCCTGTTGAAGATATTTTCATCTCGGCAGGTTCTACAATCGTTCTGCATTGCATATAAATTGGGATATTTGGCTTCTTTTAGTGATTAAAACTTTGAGGCATATATTGTGTGCTGAGGATTCTGAAAAAAGAAAATAACATTTCCCTTGAAGAAACCTGATATATTCGTTACTTTGTATCATTTGACCTTGCTTTTTTTTCTTTTTTTTTTTCTGAATCCATTGCAGCCCCTAGATGAAAGCGGCTATCGGGAAGTTAAATTTGGTATGCTGGATTTGTTCATGCGTTGTAGCGTTGAGGGAACTTCACAAAATCAAAGCTGTTTGTATAAGATGCCAGAGATCAATGGTTCTGAATTAGGATACGGTAAACTTGTCTGGAAAATCCCTTCTGGGATGAGGGCGCATGTTGGAACCGTATCAACTCTCACGTTCGTTGCAGCCTTATTTTCAGCTATTACAATTGCTGTTACATCCATATTTCAATCAGCCATTGCCTACGGCATTCATTTGAAAGAATCTTAATTCATTGTTCTATCTTCTTTTTTTAAGTGACTTATTTCACAGTCTCACTTTATCATATTGATGTACACCCCTTTTGTTCGGGGAGGCGGGAAGATGTACGCCCGTTTGGTTGGAGAGGTATTGGAGGTCTTAAAATGAGAGAACAATTTACATGATCCTTCTACTCATTGAAGAACATAACCTCGTTTTGAACAACCATGCTACTAATCGAACCCACGTTTTAGATCTTAGTTATACTTTGATAATACTGGCCCCTTTAAAAATACAAGTGTATATATATATACACACACATACATACGCATATTATTGCTTTTCAGCAGCACTTAATATGCTTATCATAACAAAATAATGGTACTTGATGAAGTTTATTAGTCGTGTACTTGTATTATTAGGGGCTTAAGCATTTCCTACATGTCATTTAAAGTTTCATATTTTGGACCCATATCTGTTAATATTTCCAAGAAAACTTATATTTATAAAACATTGATGCTTATCCCTCAGGGTAAAATTTGGAAAATAATTATTTAAAAACCAAAACGACAGCCCTCAATCCTTCTCCCACTTGCCAAACCCCGCCTAACACCCGCCATTGTTTTCCTCTACCCAGATTTTAGTACAGTAGTACCATGACATGCTTAGTAATGTCTTTGGAAAACAATTAAAAAACTAAAATAAAATTGAAAATTGGTATTTATAATGTGGACACATAACATATTCAGAGATTGTTGTAGTGAGCAAAAATGCTCTCATCAAAATACCAACAATCAAATATATAACATGCCAAAAACCATTGGCAACCTCCTCATAATAAAACAATGGATGTCTAAGTACATGACATATATGGTTGAGGACCATGACCTATGCTTTGATTGGTTCGAGAGAATTATGACATTTTCTACGTTATGTTTTTATGATGCTTTGACCCATTGTGGCGTCACCTACTAGTCAAATGACCCATTGTCTTTTCTGATATACTGCAACAACGTAAGCAAACTAAGGTGAGTACGTTTTCATGTCTCTATCTAAGAGGATCGTATATATATGATTTATTTTTTCTTCTTTATTTTGTAGTTGATATGTGTTTTTCTTTTCTTGCAGTGGGAGGTAGTTGACGATGAGGATCTCAATATGGCATTGACTTATTTCTTTTTGGATCTAATGCCCCACTTGTTTACAATGGACAATGTAAAGATGTCTGAGATTTTATTAGGTACACTTTAAGACTAAGTTGAGTGAGTGGCAGTTGAAACTTGGGGGCATTTTTATTGTGTTTTTAATTTTTAATTTTCTTGTGGTTTTGTTTTTGTTGAATTTATTGTGTTCTTGCTTTCAGACATTTTTATTAGTTGTACAATCAATTTAGTTTATATATATAATCTATTACTTTTGTGAATCACTTTGCTTAGATTTGGTATGTATTCAAAACTATTTATTTGCAATCCTCAATACATGACAAAAAGGGTCATTCAAGTTAACTTTATATCTCTCACACAAAAGATTGCAACACAAGGTTCGAAATTTCAAGCTCTGGGTTGGATCTATGAGACATGGATGGTTGAGATCAGACAGATCCAATATGGATATGAAATAAACATTAAAACAACAGGTTTTACAATACATACTCAAAAACAATATCATTAAATAAAACAGATGAAAGAACTGTATAGTGAAAAAAATTCAATTTCAACAATTTTCAAAACATAAAAGAAAAAAAATATATATATATCAAAAGTAAAATCTCATTCGTTGTAGATGGAGGCCAAGCATAATAATCAAAGAATTCAAATCAAATCCTGAATACCTTCCTTTTTTTTTATGTGGCAAATTATGCTAATAAACGACATTTAAATATTAAAAAGTTAAATGGTAAAAATTAATACAGCAATTGACATTGTCTCTCATCAGTATAGCACAAGGCAACTTGCAAAAGAAGAGAATTAGCATAACCTAACTTTTCTCATTCTTCTACTCATTGAAGAACACAACCTTGTTTTGAACAACCATACTACTAATCGAACCCACGTTTTAGGTCTTAGTTTTACTCTGATAATACTGGCCTATTTAAAATACAAGTATATATATTTATATACACACACACACACACATATTATTGCTTTTTAGTAGCACTTATCCATTATTATATACTTATCAAAACAAAACAATGGTACTTGATGAAGTTTATTAGTCTTATACTTGTTTTATTAGGGGATTAAGCATTCCATACATGTCATTCAAAGTTTTCATATTTTGGACCTATATCTGTTAATATTTCCAAGAAAACCAATATTTATAAAACATTGATGCTTATCCCTTACGGTAAAATCTAGAAAAGAATTACTTAAAAATCAAAACGGCGGCCCTTAATCCTTCTCCCACCCGCAAAGCCCCGACTAACTCTCACCACCGTTTTCCTCTACCCAGATTTTAGTCCAGTAGTACCATGACATGCTTAGCAATGTGTTTGGAAAACAATTAAAAAACTAAAATAAAATTGAAAAATGGTATTTATAATGTGAACACATGACATGTTCAGAGATTTTTGTAGTAAGTGAAAATGCTCCCATCAAAATACCAATAATCAAATATATAACGTGCCAAAAACCATTGGCAACCTCCTCATAATAAAACAATGGATGTCTAAATACAAGACATATATTGTTGAGGACCATCACCCATGCTTTGATTGTTTTGAGAGAATTATGATATTTTATACGTTCTATTTTTATGATAATTTGATCCATTGTGACGTCACCTACTGGTCAAATGACCAATTGTCTTTTCTAATATACTGCAACAACATAAGGAAACATTATCAAATTAAGGTGAGTACGTTTTCATGTCTCTTCCTAAGTGAATGTTATATATATGATTTATTTTTCCTTCTTTGTTTTGTAGTTGATATGTGTTTTTCTTTCCTTGCAGTTGGAGGTAGTTGACGATGAGGATCTCAATATGGCATTGACTTATTTCTTTCCAGATCTAACGCCCCACTTGTTTACAATGGACAATGTCAAGATGTCTAAGATTTTATTGGGTACATTTTGAGATTGAGTTGAGTGAGTGGCAGTTGAAACTTAGGGGCATTTCTATTGTGTTTTAAATTTAAAATTTTCTTGTGGTTTTGTTTTTGTTGGATTTATTGTGTTCTCGCTTTCAGACAGTTTTATTAGTTGTACAATCAATTTAGTTTATATATATAATCTATTACTTCTGTGAATCACTTTGCTTATATTTGGTATGTATTCAAAACTATTTATTTGCAATCCTCAATACATGACAAAAACGGTCATTCAAGTTAACTTTATATCTCTCACACAAAATATTGCAACACAAGGTTCGAAATTTCAATCTCTAGGTTGGATCCAGGAGACATGGATGGTTGAGATCAGACAAATCCAATCCAGATATGAAATAAGTATTAAAACAACAGGTTTCACAATACATACTCAAAAACAATATTATTAAATAAAACAGATGAAAGAACTGTGTAGTGAAAAAAATCTATTTCAACAATTTTCAAAACAAAAAAAAAAGCATGGCAAAAGTAAAATCTCCTTCGTTTAAGATGGAAGCCTAGCATAATAATCAAGGAATTCAAACTAAATCATGAATACCTTCTTTTTTATCATGTGGCAAATTATGCTAATAAATCTCATTAAAATATTAAAAAGTTAAAGGGTAAAAATTAATATAGCAATTGACATTGTCTCTCATCAATATAGCACAAGGCATCTTGCAAAAGAAGTGGATTAATCTAACTTCACTATTCCCATTCTTCTACTCATTTTGAACAAAACCTCATTTTGAACAACCACGCTACTAATTGAACCCACATTTTAGGTCTTAGTTTTACTCTGATAACATTGGCCCTTTAAAAATATAAGTGTATATATTTTTATACACACACACACACATATTATTGCTTTTCATTAGCACTGATCCATTATCATAACAAAACAATGGTACTTGATGAAGTTTATTAGTTTTATACTTGTTTTACTAGGGGATTGAGCGTTTCCTACATGTCATTCAAAGTTTTCATATTTTGGACCCATATCTGTTAATATATCCAAGATAACCTATATTTATAAAACCTTGATGCTTATCCCTTGGGGTAAAATATGAGAAAGAATTATTTAAAAACCAAAACGGTAGCCCTCAATCCTTCTCCCACCCGCCAAACCCGTCCTACCACCCACCAACGTTGTCCTCTACCTAGATTTTAGTCCAATAGTACCATGGCATGCTTAGCAATTTGTTTGGAAAACAATTAAAAATGGTATTTATTATGCGAACACATGACATGTTCAGAGATTTTTGTAGTGAGCAAAAATACTTCCATCAAAATACCAACAATCAAATATATAACATGCCAAAAACCATTGGCAACCTCTTCATAAAAAACCAGAGGATGTCTAAGTACAAAATATATATGATTGAGGACCATGACCTATGTTTTGATTGGTTCGAGAGAATTATGGCATTTTCTACGTTATGTTTTTATGATACTTTGACCCATCGTGGCGTCACCTACTGGTCAAATGATCCATTGTCTTTGATGATATACTGCAACAATGTAAGGAAACAGTATCAGATTAAGGTGAATACGTTTTCATGTCTCTGTCTAAGAGAATGTTATTTATATGATTTATTTTTCCTTCTTTGTTTTGTAGTTGATATGTGTTTTTCTTTCCTTGCAGTGGGAGAGAGTTGACGATGAGGATCTCAATATGGCATTGACTTATTTCTTTCTGGATTTAATGCCCCACTTGTTTACAATGGACAATGTCAAGATGTCTAGGATTTTACTCTATACACTTTGAGACTGAGTTGAGTAAGTGGCAGATAAAACTTGGGGGTATTTCTATTGTGTTTTTAATTTTTTATTTTCTTGAGGTTTTGTTTTTGTTGGATTTATTGTATTCTCGCTTTCAGACATTTTTATTAGTTGTACAATCAATTTAGTCTATATATATAATCTTTATTTGCAATCCTCAATGCAAATAAATTTAGTTTATATATACAATCAATTTAGTTTATATAATCTTAATTTTGTTGGATTTATTGTATTCTCGCTTTCAGACACTTTTATGAATCACTTTGCTTAGTTTGGGTATGTATTCCAAACTATTTATTTGCAATCCTC